CCCGGGCGCGTATACCCGATTGCTTGATCAAACACGATAATCGCCAATAGTACACATATATTATATGATAAGAAAACGTGTAATGGTATTCATATATATTGTCTCACGTTCATTATAATATTTCAATTGAAAGATGAGATTGTGTTTTAGAAAGCCACTGCAGAGATTATACTGGAATTTTAAAAGTGTTTCCTCCGGCTTTTTAGCTCGATTTTTTTAAGCTTTTGACTAACCCCCAAAAAGCAATGGTGAAAGTTGAGGTAGATTTAGTGGTTGATATAGCAAATCTATACATGGAAATAAAAAGGCAAAATTTTACATTTGCAAAATACTGTTATATTAGCGCTATTTGAAACGTCGATGCACATAACCTCCCATAAATGAATCGACTAATAGAGGTAATAATATAGGTTTCCTGATGAACGTATAGGTTTTATGATGGAATGTGCATCCTGGAGTGGCTCTGAATCATTCAATATCCAGTTTGTTTTGCCGAAGGTAACTGAATAATATTCATTGTGAAATAGAAGTTTAATATGACTTCATAAAGTTTAGGTTTGATACATTTGTATTGTTTTGCTGTTGCCACAACCTCGCACTAAAACAAAAACACGTATGATCACTGTAGTATATGTTGTCGAAACGTCGAGAAATACTTTTGTGTATTTTTGGTAGCTGTTACTTTGTTGCAACATTATTCGAGACAACGTCGAGGTGAATATTTCCCGATAATCACCGAGCCTAAGCCGAAAAATTGTTTTAGTATTTTTTCACTAGTGAATTGACACAAGAAATTTGTTCGCTTTTCTCTTTGTAACTAGAAACGTCCACAAAACGGCTAGCCGCCGGCATTTTGAAATTTCTTATAATACGTCAAATATGACCAATCAGAATGCAGGATTTGATATATTCACTTGTGCATGCAAAAATACTAAATATATATATCGTGCAAAGCGTGATGGTTCATTTTTGACCGTGCTTTTTTTGACCACGCTCCGTTTAACCATGCTTATCCGTATAAATGCTAAATAATATATCTTTCCTTCAGGACATTTCGTCAGATATGTTTCACACACTTAGCAACATGCTACCCAGCATATTTCGTGTATCAAGGACGCTGGACCTGCAAGATTTATCACGAAAGTAAAAAAAAAAACATTACGTCGTAATACGATAACTAGCAACAATACTCATGCATGCATATGGATCTGAAACAAGCCGCGTTTGCATTACGTGTTTGACCTGGCCTGGACCAGGCCTAGGCCTAGATGTGAACATTGTTTATCCGGCCTAGACCAGGCCAGGACCTGGTGTAGGCCACAAAATCCTGGTCAACAGCAAAAGGTGGCCTGGGCCAGGCCTGGACCTAACCTGGGGCAAGATTTTGGTAATGTGCACATTCTTGGATTCTTGTATATGAATCTAGGCTTTACCTAATCATGACAAATTTTTAACCTAATAGTATGATTTATATAGGATATATATAGTATTATCACCTTCCGGTGTGTTTTGGGTCCTATTCTAAGTATTTTGTCAAATACTTTGGCTATCTGATATCAGCAACAAGGAAGACAGTGTGAACGTGGGGCACATATTACCTGGACTTGTCCTAGACCTGGTCCAGTGTAAACGCGGCTATATATAGGGGCCCTGGTTTTAATTTAGTTCTAGTTGTCGTAAACTGAGTAATTCACCGATGCGATGTAAATGTGTCTTTATTTTCTATATTATATGATATACATTATTGTTTACTGCGCAAATGCATGTTTAACATATTAGCATATTGGCCAGGGACCGCTGAGGGGGGGGGGCTGGGGGCTTTAGCCTCCCCAATAATTTTCAAAATACATGTGATTCCTTTATAGCGATTTTTATATGCATGGCCATAATAATACGAATAAAAACTCCTTATAGTAAGTTGTGTAATCATAATTATGTGTTCACTATCCGTGTTGGTGAACAATGTTTTCATTGAAGTGTTTACAAGAAAAATATAAAACAGATAAGTATGGTCCCCCCCCGAGGGTTCACTCTTTCGGCTTCGCTAGCCCCCCCAATCCAAAAACTGCTCCGCGGTCCCTGTTGGCATGCAGATATGTTCATATGCGCAATACATAAAATTCTAGAATTTAATTACAGTTACTAAATTAAAGTTTTTTACATCTAAAATTAGATTTCACTTCATAAAAGGTCTGAAGTATATCAGTGTTCAAAGGCCATCCTAAATAAGTAGGTTCTCAATGCTTTAACATAATTTAAATTGTCCATATTACGAATATTTGCCGGCATACCGTTCTAGAGTTTTGGAGTAGCTGATTTAAATGCTCTCCCACCAAGTCCAAGAGTCGTCAAACATTATCCTGTTGGTAGCGTCAAATAGTGGTAATAGTGTCAAATTTCCACTTGATCTTAAACTGTACCTAGTGTGCCTTTTAATGTTAGTAAGATCCATTAGATATTTCGGGGCTAATCCATGTATATACTTAAAAATTAATAATAAAATTTTAAACTGAATCCTGTAAGCAACAGGCAACCAGTGCAAAGCGTCCAAGACATGTGTAATGTGTCTGAATCGTGAATTACCGGTGAAAACATGGGAAAGAGCAGTGCTACATGTCTTGTTACATAATATGCTTTGACATGTTTAATTTAGAATCAAGCCAAGATCCCAAGTTTTTCGCCACAAAAGGCGTAATCTGCTTGTCTCCCACTTGCAGACAATCGATGTTAACCTTTCCCAGCTGCTGCCAACATAGTTCCAGGTTTAAAGGATAAACACAGTTGAGTATCATCAGCAAAACAATGCGCGTTGGGTAAATGAGATTTGATGATTCTGAACAACTTACTTGTATATAGGATGAAAAGAAATGGTCTCAAACATAATACGGTACATCAAAACTTAGATCAAATTCTTTAGAGTAAGTCCTCCTGTAGTCGCTGAAGAAGAATACAAAGACACTGAATGTAGCTAGTAATATTACATCAAAAACCTAATTGATTGTCATATGGATCCATCAAATATGGCAAAAAATAGAAGAGGAACCGCAATGGGTTTAATTTTGAATTATCATTATTTGAATTATCACTCTAAGCTTTGTCCATAACAGAAATTCGTGATTTGTTCTAATTTTTATCTGATTCGTTTTTATTATATACAGGCCTTTTCAGCTTGCATGCTGAAATTAAGCCATTTCAGATGTGGTGACCATGGAATAACCAATAAAACTTAACCATTTCATTTGAAATGGGTTAATTTGCATACAAGCTGAAAAGGTCTATTTATTTGGCCTTTTTAGAATAATGATTTTAAAAGAACATTCATATGAATTATGCGTGATTAATAGATATAATAAATGACTACATAGTATATTTACCTAATAGAAAGATTAAATTATATATGTGACGAAGTTATCATTTTTGTAATATTGGTAGATATATATAGCTAATCGTTCAATGTATCTTCACTCCTAGTGAAAAATTTTTAGGAAAAAGATTTTCTAGGAAAGAGATTGTTTGAAACAATACGGCGGCAGTAAACCTCGTTTTTTCACGGCGATTATCTTCTGGTGTATGGCTGTATATGCATGCTATTAAGTAGTGAATGCAACAAATAAGATTAATTTTCTTTGTCATGCAAAACAACTATGTCACTGCATGCACTGCAAAAGTCATAACTCACTCAAACACATATACTAGAAATGGAAAATCGGGGGAAAAATGCTCGTGGCTATATGAAAAGTTTGAATTAACGACAGACCTGTTATAACCAGTCGAAAACACATTCAAAGTTTTCTAATCTTAATTCACAGTCAGTAGTAAAATGAAGACCATTGTTACGTTCCAGGGGCCGGTTGTATAAAAACGTTGTTATTACTATGATTAGCGCTAACTAAAGTAAACTGTAAAAAAAGTGATTAAAAAGTGATTAAGAGTCAGTTTATACAACCGGCCCCTATAGGCTAACTAATTAACAGTAGGACTGAATCTTAATCCCTGTCTCTGAGTAAAACTAAAAAACGCACCAATGGACTTCATTCAATCACTTCACGCAATGTGAAAAACAGCACAAGTTTAATCTTTGCAACAATAATGTGATCTCTCTTTGATAAAACCTAAAAAAATAAAACCGGCTGAGAAGAATTATACTAGTTACTAATCTACAAGCTTAGGGGATGTTGTATTTGGTTTGTGACGACAGGGACTTTTGTGTGGGTAGATTCTCTTAAGGTCAATATTCTCTTCCGGTTTGTGTGGGCCTTTACAGGGACCGCGGAGGGGGGGGGCTGGGGGGCTTTAGCCCCCCAATAATTTTCAAAATACATGTGATTCCTTTATAGCGATTTTATATGCATGGCCATAATAATACGAATAAAAACTCCTTATAGTAAGTTGTGTAATCATAATTATGTGTTCACTATCCGTGTTGGTGAACAATGTTTTCATTGAAGTGTTTACAAGAAAAATATAAACAGATAAGTATGGTCCCCCCCCGAGGGTTCACTCTTTCGGCTTCGCTAGCCCCCCCAATCCAAAAACTGCTCCGCGGTCCCTGCTTTAGACTGTGTAACTAATACATTCAAAATTGCGTAATTTGTAAAGTGTTGTAAATGCGTTGTTATTTCCTTTGTAATCAGCTCAACTTTTGGTTACGTAACGACTTGTTGAAAAACAATTTATTCTCGTGTAGTGAAGGGGAAATTAGGAAAAGATGACAAAGTGCTCATTTTAAACAAAATTTCTCGTTCAGCGTTAGTGGGACTCAAAAGCAATACATATTTAGGCAAAAAGTGATAAAGTGAGTCTTCCTAGTTGGAAAATTAGTTCACAGAGGAATGGTCAATTCTGAAACTTTGGGAGATTCGATTATAGACAATTTTAAAAATATGACGAATGGTTACCGGTAGCTCTTACCTTTTTGAGTTTTGATGCAAGAAAACGAAATTTCAACTTTTAGATTGGAAACACGCAGTGCATGCGCCCGACGGCCCGATTTCGCGCAATTTGGCGGGAGATATTGTTAAAACGTTGCTTGTCTTGCTTCGAAGTGAAATCGTTTCGATAAGACACTGATAAATCTTGTACAAAAATGTCTAATCCGTTGACTGCAGGAGCGATTAAGGTAGGAAAGCATCTATATATTTATTATTTTTGTTTGTGCTTAGAATAAATTCATGTGGGGTAAGAAAATATTTAAGGCCATATTTCAGCTAGCCCCTTATATCGTATTAACGTATTCGATTGACTTTTAATATTGCAGAATCATCCACAGAGTTACTTAATTCATTAGATTTTCTTACGTTTATACAGGAAATTTTTTTAGATCATAGCAATTTGCCAAAATCTCCTGTTTTGCAAGTGTTGGTGAGTTTTGCAAGTGTTATTTTTGTTTATTTGCTTTATATTATTTTGGGCAAAACTATTTGTACAATTTATTCACAAATGCTATTACATCACTATTCATATACAAGAATCCAAGAATGAGCATGCTTTGTATCAAGGGCTTATGAGGAACGAAACTCTCTTAGTATTAATTTTAAGGAATGGGGGGGGGCAGATGTGAAAGCCTGTCCCTGGGGAGGTTTTGTTGGGCCCAGAAAACTTGGTACTATCAGTGATTCTGGATCCCTTTGATTATTTGCAATAATTCTACACAGACATTTTATACATATATTCATATTTACCTAAACATTTGAATATTGTAGGGTTTGAAAAAAGTTCAAGGCAATCAAGGCGGAAGTGAAAGATACCGGTATGTTGAAGTAAGGGTGGTGCTAGCTAAAACTTATGAACATTCTTAAGAGTGGTCTCTTTACAAAGACTGTGTTTGGAGTTGTTTTACCTTCAGATCTTTAACCTTGCAATCCTATCAGTAATAAACCATGCAGGTCTAAATTTTAAAACCATGTTTCTTATAGGCAGTAATTCTTGGATTTCTTATCCCTTTTACCCAATCAAATTATGAGGTGATAGGCAAAACTAAGAACAGTCGTATATCCCATGGTGTTGGTTGAACATGACAATTTCACTCATTGCTATCAACCAATCAAAGAGTTAATTTAATCTTTTCTGAGTAAAGAGTAATACTGAATAATAAATCTGTGTTAGATAGGTTCTACCATGTTCTGCTGAACTTAATTACAATGAATGTTGCATTACCAATAACTTAGCAACAAGGTCTATTATGTGATTAATGAATAGACTAGAAGAAATTAAACAGTCTGTCAAGACTTGTCATGAATTAACACATCCCAAAATGATGTATCCCAATCTACAAAATGATGTACATTCCCTTCCCCACCCCAAGTATTATGTGGTGAAAAAAGGACTTCTGATAGTTAAACCACA